CAAACTACCCTCCTAATTATAAATAAAAAAAATCATATTTCTCCCGACAGATTATCAACAATACTGAATCTTTTTTGAATTTCGTCGGTAAACCATCAATATATAGTAATGAATTACCAATGATAGTAACCCTCACAAAAACGTCACTAATATCCTACTAATTTCACTTTCTTAGTCAGATGGAAATCCATCCATATTTTGTCGTTGTTTCCAACTTTTTTTTTTTTCCATCACTCATATATGTTAACCCCCCCGTTTTCTAGTAATGTATAGCAATGGTCCTCTCGTCACTAATTATTCAAATACTTGAAATATTTTATTATTTACAACAACTTGCTACAAAAAGCAATGGATAGTTTGTGACAAATTATAAGAAATTAATCTTCTTTTGACTAATTTTTCGACTCGAATGAACCTTTGAGGATGTAAACAAATACTATATTTTAAATGCAACCCAAACAAATACTATATTTTAAATGCAACCCAAACAAATACTATATTTTAAATGCAACCCAAACAACCCCAATGCAACTTATTAACCAATATAATCACAACTTAACAAGAAGTAAGTAATCAATATAAGATACCAATATAATCAACCAACAACTTAACATGTAAGTAACCAATATAAGATACACAAATTTTAACGTGGAAAACCCCCTCAAAATGAGAGCATAAACCACGAGAATACTACTTGAGTCATTTGAAATCCACTATCACCAAGCTTTGAACAGTACAAAGTTTTTGCTAAATGTACTAGAGACGTACAATAAACATTATACACTTGGAATAAAAGCACAATCAAATAAGTAAAAGAAAAAGAGATATATCACCAAAAAAGAAGTTGTTCAAGAAAAAATAAACAAAAATATATGAACTTTCAGAAGAGATCAGCTTAATCCAACCACAAATTTTGTGAAGCCAGATAATGTGATTGCTAATGTGGTGCTATTTTGGACACATTAGCATGCCAAAGTGGCAGTTTGGCCTAGGAAACCAACTACCACTAATTGTACCGTTGTTTAAGATACAAATTAGTCTTAAACATTATGTTCCAAACAAAATGCTTACTTTTACAAAATAAAATAAATATGATCGTTTCTATAGGGATAATGACTTAAAAGAGAAATAGATTTTTCGAATTGTACACATTTGGTCACTGAGGGTTTTTTTTTTTTTTTTTTTTTTTTTTTTTTTTTTTTGCCGATATTTACCCTTTCAACTTATTTAAATTGTATACATTCAGTTTGTATGATCGGCTACTCCGGATAAGCCTAGAAAAAATGACTTAATAGGATAATATAATTCTCACTTTGTATACATCTAGTCTTTAGTGTGTGTGTCTATATATATATATATATATATATATATATATTATATATATATATATATATATATATATATCGCACATTTAGCCTTAATATTTTTTGTTGCAAAGTAAATCATTGTTGTTTTTGTATGCATTAAGTACTTATGACTCATTTGTTTAGGCTTTTCTCACAATATCATACCTGATATAGTCATTAATAATGTATTTGAAGTTATTGATGCTTATGGCCATCGTGGCATTGACTGTTTGGTTGCTTAGATCTTGTGGTTTGGCTTAGGTCTTATGTTCTAGACGTTATAACTTCTCCATACGTTCTCGAATTTTAACAACTTGTGTATTCACATGTTCATATTTGATTCTGCTGTAACTTTCATTTAGATTACTCCTATTAAAAAATATATATTTTTACTTATGATTTTTATATCCATGTGTTCTTTATGAATGTATATAGGAATGTTTTTTTAAAACATAAGTAAAAATATATTACTTTTTATCGGGAGTAATCTAAACGAAATTATAGTAGAATCAAATACGAACATATGGATATAAAGATAGTTAAAATTCAAATCATATAAAGAAATTATGACGTTCAGAATACATAATCTAATCCAAACCACAAGATATAAGCAACTAAGTAGCCGAGGTTGCGGTGACCATATGCATCAACAACCTTGAACACTTTATTAATGATTATCCTACATAGGATATTGTGAGAAAAAAAAACTAAAAAAAATTGGTTATAAGTAATAAATATGTACAAAAACAACAAAGACTAAATGTGCAAAAAAATAGTAAAGATTAAATGCGTACAAAATAAGAAATATATTACATTTTTAAGCATTTTTTTTGCATTACTTGAAGTTGTCGGTCATAAAGATCAATACATTTTGAGGGGTATATATATATATATATATATATATATATATATATATATATATATATATATATATATATATATATATATAGGCATTGGCCCAACAATTGAAATTGAGTGTCCCGTGAACTTGAAGGCTTAAAAAAGGAAGCCCGAGGCCCTTCACCTTTGGGCCTTGGCTGTTGCTCTCTTTACGCAGGTCGAGCGTCGAGGTCGCAGTGTCGCGGACATAAAGCAACGTTACGAGAAAAAAAGGAACAACAGACGAACACCGGAACATCGTGAGTCACCGTTTCCGGCCTCTCTCCGACTTGCTGTCTTCCTTTTCAACTCTTTCGGCAGTAAGTTCAAAACTTAAAATATTGGTTTTAACCTATCTTTTTTTAGGGTAATCTTTTGAAAATCCTAAATTGCTAGAAATTGTTGAGATGCTTTAATCTGTTTATATGAATATACGTGATATATAGTCGATTTTTAATATGATTTTGATAAATCTTTTCTGTGAAATGTTTCAAGTTTAGAGTCAATGGATGATCTTTATGTGGCTACTGATTTTGAGGTTCGAATGCTGTTTGATACATACTGGAACTAATCATCCAAGTTCAATTTTGTCCGAAAAGATAGTTTTAGAGCAAAAGGGTTGCATCCAAGGTGTTTGATGTTTTGTGTCAATGAACATTTTAATTGTACTTTCTGAGGATTTAGTGGAGAAAGTAGAGACACGTGCTTAATTTGTGTTCTTGATGTCTTTGCAGTACCTTTTTACTCATGGAGGGAGAAGAGAGCTTGCTTGATTCAATACTTGATGCAGACAATGTTGAAGACATGGAAGATGTTGATATGGTTGATGTAGAAGAAGGAGAATTGGTTGAGAACTATCAACAAGCTGAGTTGGGACAACACAGCAGTGGAGATGGTGACACAGTATCTCAAGAACCTAAGAGTAAAAGTCAGAAACGTAGAAATAAGAAAAGAAATAAGAAAAAGAAAGTGGCTTCAGGCCCTGGTGTCTTGGACATTAACAGGTATTTGCCTGATTTTCCCTAACCCTAATCATTTCCCTCCTTTGACTTATGGGTTGTAATGTCTTATGTCATTTGCAGATTTGTTTTAGATACTTGCAGGCGTTTGAAAGAAAGAAAGTCTTACCTGATATGGACTGCAGTTGGTTGTCTGGGTGTCCCTGCTGTTAGTGATCTTGTGAAGGAGGTATAGTTTCTTGGAAAATCTTTAATCTTTATATACGAATCAAATCAACCTTATTGTGCATTAATTTAGCATTGGGGTAAACAACTTGTATCCATGCATATTGCATAACCAGAAAACATTGGTTCCTTAGCATTATTCTGTAGGAAACCAAGATTTATGTTTGATCTTTATATATGTCGATAGATTACTTCATTTTTTGTTGGTGTCTGAACTCTGATGCTGAATGTTGTTTCCCTAAAATCGCAGATTTCTCTTCCAGAAGCCATTTTATCAGTTTCAGTCTGTGGATCATTGATTATATCTTGATGGTGTGTTTGTATGGCTTTGATTTGCTGTTTCTATAGAATAAAGAGTGTTATGTTTGTTAGCTTTGATAGTTGAGTGCATATTTTTGGTATTGTATCTTGGATTGGATTACTTAATGATGATGTAATGGTGACAGGTGGATGCGATTCAGGCATGTGGTGGTCAGATGACTTCAGATGGAGGGCGATATAGGAATGGTGGTGGGATTTTGTGGAACATCCTTAGAAAACGTGATCCAAATGTATATAAGGAGATAATGAAAAAAGGGAGGGAGTTTGAGGTAATTTTACATACATTTTTACTCATAAGTAATACATGTATGACTATTGACTATGAATGATGATTAGTATATAAGATCATGATTGGTGGATTATTGTTCTTGCAGAAGCAATTTAAACCACCGGATTTGAGGAAAGCAGCAAACCAGAGCAAACAGGGTTTGTCTGAAGCTGAAGCTGAAGCAGAAGTAGAAGGTGTGAAAGAAGAGGTGGGGAGGAGTGAAGGGCAAAATGGGGAATTGGACATTGAAGAGAGACAGGTGAAGAAAAGACCTGTTCATGAAAGAATCCGTGTGCCTGTATCCTATGATGACTTGCTTGAAGTTGAGGATCCGAAAGAAGAGGCGAACGAATAGCGAACAAGTAGGATATGGAGAGAGAAGTTTTATGATGGTTTTGTTCTATAAAATCTCCCTGTCTTTGATTGGATTGGTTCTTTTTTGTGGTGAATGAATGAATGAAAGGATGCAAGTTTTGATGTGCATTTGTGGGGTCGTTTTTGGTTATTTGTTTTGTTTTCCACTAGTTGAAATATGATCATTTGAAGTCTTTTATGGTAATATGAAAGTTGTGTTTTGAGCAAAAAGGATGTTAATATTGATCAAAGTGTAGCAAGATATGGTAATTGATAGGGTTTTTGAGTGGCATGCATTTGTGAAGTAAGAATAGTTTATTTATTACATGTATTTATGAAAATGAGGCAAGGGACCTTGCTCTTCCAAATGAAATGTCATCCCACAAACAAGAAATAACTAGATTAGTGACAAGGAAAGCCCAATAAGATCGGAAATAAAGAGGAGCATTGGTGAGCAATGCACAAATATCATTAATAAATGCCCATAATCGAGCAAAGATCCCGTTAAAGACTTGTGTATTTTAACATCATGGAAAATGCCCATGTGGAAGAAACGTGGTATTGCACACATGACAACCGTGGTTTATCCACAACATGCGAGTTCTTCATATTGTTTGAACATGTTCTAAAATAACATGCATAAGATTAGGTGAAACGCTAAAAATTAGAGATACATAACATGAATAAGAGCACAACTTACGTGATTCAGTTGATATGACCAACATTCATGAACATGATGAAGTTATCTTATTCATGAGTTCATAAACAAAGAGTAAAACCAAAAACCCTAAAAAAGAAAGCATCTTATATAGCCCAAAAATACCTACCTACAATAAAAAAATCATATCTCTTTCTTCTTAGAGAATTCAGTCCATAAAGTTTCAATATTTTTAGCCCAAAATAGTTTCAATTGCACGATTTTAGTCCATTGTTAACTTATTCATATACAAAACCAAGAAATTAACAAGTCACTGACTGGAGACAGGAACACATTCTTGATCAGCAACAGCAGCAGCAGGGTTAGGGGTGGCAGAATCCGGTGCAGGTGACTTCTTGGTAAGAGATTTAGGAATATCAATGTCATCCTGGACGCATCGTTGTTGTGGATGTGACAGCAGGACACACATGTGGCGAAAGAGGACACGTGTCAGCCCCTGACCACTCTCAAAGATATACCCCTCGTATTCACTCACCTGCTCAAGGGCGTCCACCAGACCATCGTACACCTTCTGCGGACAATTATCGGGCCCCGGTTTATTGTGTAGGTAAACCACATCAAACGTGAACAGCTTTTGGTTTGTGGGCCATTGGTGTTGTGGCACTACTGATGATCTACAATATATTAGAATCTGGAGAAAGTGGAAACCACACATACATAATTATACTGCTTGTTAATATATATATATATATATATATTTTTAATTATAGTTAAATAAAATAATTTAGAAATGAAACTAACCACCCTGAGTAACCGATTCTGTGAACGGGATTTTTTAGCTTCATGATTTGCGACTTTAAAGAGATGCGTGAGATCCGCATGTCCAGCGGAAGAGTCAACTGAGATGGCTCGGAATGCAGCAATTGCAGACTCAACTTCACTGCTAAACTCCTTCTTAAGCTGTATGTGTATGTATGTATACATGCAATCAAGCATAAACCATAAAGCAGACAATAAGGCTTAAAGACTACAAGGAGAAAAAGTAAGAAATCAAACACTAATTAAGGACACTAACTCCTTATTTTGGCAATGTTTCAGATTAAAAGAACAGTAAGATCAAGAGGATTAGGTAAAGTATGCTAGGGTTTGTATACAACAGAATTGGGTTATAGTATCCAAGGGTTGCTGCATCTTTCTTAGTCAAATGGACGAATTTCAAGCTTCAAAGCTGTTATAAACTACAAACCTATCAAGTGAATTTTCACTTGATTTCAACATCATGGTTCTAGAAATGAGACCTAACCTATCTTGGATTTGCATTTGAGAATATTTATTCATCATTTTGGAAACGAAGGGGTATGCAAAAATCTATGGATTAGGCAAATAGAAAAGAAATCGAGAATACGAAGAATAGAGGAAAAGGATTTACCCAAAAGGGGGTTTTGCCGAGTGCGGAATAGGCGAATCGATGATCTGGATTAATAGCAAGCTTAGCGTTGATAAACAGAAGAATAGCCTGCTTAATTGATTCCAATCTGGTAAAAGGTCTTCCACTGGCGCTGGTATTCTTCATTTCAACGAGGGATTCAGGATCAACATCGATACAGAAAAGTATGTCTTCGGATGACAATCGGGTTGCTGGTAGAGTGTACCGAGCTGCTGCTATCGAGCTCTGTCCTCTTGCCTCCATACTATATTTCCCACACACACGGATGACCAAAGAACGAAGATGGTTATGAAATTCAGGAAGACGAATGAAGATGGTCGCAGGTGTTTATGACCAAAAAATAAAAAAAATAAAAAAAAAATAAAAAAAAATAAAAAGTAAATTTTCCTTTTTATTTTTGGGATATATCACCTAAAAGATAATATATTTTTTAATGTTATAAATTCGATTTTTTTTTTTTTTTTTACAAAACTTGATAAATGGTCATTGTTGCGTTATAAAATATGAAATTCGTTCCTAACTTTAAAAAATCTTATGGATGATCATTGTAGTTTCAAAACTTTAAACAAAAGATCATTATTACTAACTTCATCAAGTTTTTTCCATTAAATGAATGATATTTCTATCATTTGATTATTACAGGAACCATTTATGAGTTTTTTGTTATTTCAATATATATATATATATATATATATATATATATATATATATATATATATATATATATATATATATATATATAGGTTTAGGTTTTATGAAAACAAAAAATCTAAAAATCATAAAAATACATAAAAAATACTTAAAGATCACAATTTTTTATTTTTTAAAATTTTTTATGAAACAATCATAGGTTTTTAAATAAATTCGCTGATATTTTTTTTAAAAAACAATTTTTTTTTTCAAATTTTGATTTTTTTTTTTAAATTTTGATTTTTTTATTTTTTTTAACGAATTTATTAAAAAAACCTGCGATTTTTTTTATAAAAAAATTTTAAAAAAAGTTTTGTAATCTCTAACTAATTTTTATGCATTTTTATGATTTTTAGGGTTTTTTTTTTTTTGTTTTCCAAGTAACTCTTCTCTCTTTTTCTCTTTATATATATATATATATATATATATATATATATATATATATATATATATATATATTGTGACATCCCTATTTTCACGGTCAGAAAAAACCGATTTTGTTTATGCTTTATAAAAGTCAGAGTACCCCTCTTAATAAAATGTTGCGGAATTTGTTCCCAGTAAAACATGATAAATACATTATCAAAGCATTTCCAAAGAAAAATATTTTTATTCATTTTAAAGCATTTGAGATGTTATCGTCAATACAGAAACATAAGCATAAACACAACTTACATTCATTATCACTAGTG